TCCCTCACTGGGAGCCTGTTCTGAACCTGGCCAAGCCTAGCTCAGAAAGGGGTTAGCTACTTCTATGACATGTGTTGTCACTTGGGGAAAAATTCTTTTGAAAGCTTCCAGAAATACACATGATTTTCATGGCTTACGGGAGTAAGAGAGCGCTAAGAATGGAAAAGCAACAGGGCACGAGAACATGAGTGGGGGGAGAGAGTCAGTACTCTTAGCAAATACGAGTCAAAACAGAGTCCAACCGCACGGCTCCTAACTGTGCTCAGGAGGAGCTGGAGAATGAGTCACAGTCCCCTGCTTCGTTCCTGAGGCGGATGCTGGCTGAAGAGGTGGAGCCAGGGCAAGAAGGCTGTGTCCAACAGTGACTTGCTTCTTTTCTCTGGCACGCATGGGACCCTGGAGCGTGATACCTGTCCTAGTCAGTTGAGAAGAGGTCACCAGCAGAAGGCAGAGGTGCCAAGCCCCCTGTTACGTTGGGCAGCAGTGAGAGGTCTGGCAAACTCTGAATGTGGGACTTGAGTTCCTTGCGGACCTGGGTTACTCGCGCAAGCTTCTGTTTATACTCCTAGGAAGACAAGGGAAGACACTGGGTTATGCTGTGCGGGCTGCTGGGCTAGCCCACAGGCCAATCTGCTAGCTCCACCCACCTGCTTTGCATTCCCCAACCAGACTGGCCCTGCTCCTCAGGTCTACCACCACACTGCAGCTGCCAACCACCCAAAGGTCCAGCTTAATAAAGAAATAACCAATTTGACAGACTGCTGAGAGCCCGTGAGAGGACATCCAACCCAGGACATGGAGGTGGGAAGTAAAGAGCAGTGCCATATTTGTATTCTTTGAACTTGTCCTCAACAGCTGTGTAAAAATACAGGTGCTCACATGTTCCTGAGACTTGAGGACTTCAGCTAGACCAGTGGTTCTCAACCAGTGGGTCACAACCCCATCTTCAAAAATATCTACATTAAGATTCATAACGGTATCAAAATGAATTATGAAGTAGCAGTGAAAACAGTCTAATGGCCGGAGGTCGCCACAATATGAGGAAGTATATTAAAGGGTCACAGCGTTAGGAAGGTTGAGAGCCACTGCTCTGGACAAAGCTAGACAAATGATTACAAAAGTACACCTTTTGTGTTAAAAACTTACAGACCACCCCAGACTGATCACTCAGAAACAAGCTCTCTAGAAGGCTCAAAATACCCACCTGTCGCCACCTGAGTCCAAGACCCCTTCACTGAAAGGCCTCCTAGAAGTCTGTGCTATTTCTCAAGGAACGCTGCCAGCCTCACCTCCAGAGTCCAGTTCTTCACGCCCTCCCACTGAGAAGGTGCACTGTGCCCCACCTTCCCCACAACTGCACAGAGCTGACTCCAAATTCATCCTCTCCCTTCCTGACCCCTGCGCACGCCACTGCCCATAGTCTATTCACTCAGGACTCCCTCGAGCTGCTTCTCTTGGTCCTAACAAGGCTGCTTCTGCCCCTCCACTTCCTAGCTGAGCTCCACCCACCGCAGAAAATCACTATGCACCTAGAGAACAGGTATCCTACCCAAACCTTTGCTCTACAAACCCCACAGCTCCCACAGCTGCTCTGTGCTCACTTACCTCAGCCACATTAGACTTCCACAGTCCTCTACACTATGGCTCCCAGTGACCCATATTTTCTGTCATCAGCTCACAAATACCTTCTGATACATCTGTATGGGAAACTACTGGGCCATGTGAGGTCTGAGGCTTAGAAACTCCTAGAGGCTTATTTCCCCCCTCACAAGGCATTTTATAAGGAGGCTCCTGAGGCTGGGCCCATGCAGGTTAAAGACTTCTTAGAGGAGCCTCACCCATAGCACTGGGTAAGACTCAGATGTCAGGGGTTAGCATGCTTCTGCTGTACTGTCATGTTAGACACATGTGTCCTTTTTACCTACCCAAAGTGCAGGGACAGCTTTAGAACTCAATATGTAGAACAGGCTGGCCTCAAACTCAAGAGATCCACCTGCCTCTGCCTCCCAAGTACTGGAATTCAAGGCATGCACCAACACACCCAGCAGTAATTCTCAGTTCTTCAAAGCCAAATGTCCAGGCACTCTAGAGCTTAGCTAGCTAAACTTAGCTTGAAGGCTTAAGTAAACTATTACTGAAGACTCTTGCAACAAATCAGATGCTCTGGATCCATACGCCTCACTCTGCACCCACCACACCCTATAACCCCAGCACAGTTCACAAGAACAAAAACAGGTATGAAATCTTCCTCAAATTTGGACTTCAGGCACTACTTTCACTCCTGCAATGGAAGATGCCTTCAAGTCCAAGGTCCCTTCCACCTGCTCACACCAACACTAAAGTGACATTTGCCTAAGAAATAAGCCAATGATCTCTTTCTGGACATAATGTTACTAATCACAGTACTTTGGAAGGCTGAGGCAAGAGGATCACAAATTCAAGACCAATCTGGGTTACAGAGATCCTGTCTCAAAAGCAGAATAAATAAAAATCTAGTAGGCCAAGAGGTTTAAATAATCAACAGAGTGAGCAGACAAAGCCTGAGTTTCCTAATACAAGTCAGGACTGCCTTAGACAAGGGCCTCACAGGGGCAGCAGAATGATGCAGCTTAATGACCGACAGGCGGCCAGGTCAAGCTGTAGCTAGTTGTCTTATGGGTCACTGAGCAGAGTCCATCTCTTCTTTTTTGGAAGAATCAGGCTTTCCAAATAAAGTCAACTGTAAATGCTGCCATGGACTAACAACACATTCAAGAACAAGTCCCAGAAAAACTCCCACATGCAACTTCAGCTCACACTTTCTAACTCTCCCCGTTCTGATGCTCTCCAAGGCGGAGCAGTATACAACACCCCCAACCCCAGTCCCATTGCTGCCTTCCCAGTTTTCTCTGGCTCTGAGCAGGGATAGTAAGTGCTCCAGGAAAATCTAAGAATCTCATTTCTCAACCTCAGCCTGCCCTTCCTCCTGGCAGTGAGTGGTCCTTAAGCTGTTGCTAAAAGACTCCCTTGGGAAACAGTGCTTTGGCAACTCCTGCTCCCTTGCACAATGCCACCTGTGGTGATTTGAATAAGAATGGCTCATAAATTTGAATGCTTTGCTACCAGGGAGTGGCACTACTTGAGAAGGATTAGGTGGTATGGCCTTGTTGGAGAAGGTGTGGCCTTTTGGGGGAACTGTCCACACTAGGCCCAGTTCTCACTCTGCCTGTATTTTAAGACACAGCTCTCAGCTACTGCTCAGGTGTCATGTACACTGTCATGCTGCTCCCTGATAAAATGACAATGGACTGAGCCTCTGAAGCTGTAAACAGCCTCCAGTTAATGCTTTCTCTTTTAGGAGCTGCCTTGGTCATGGTGTCTCTTCACAGCCACAGGACAGTGACTAAGACAGCATTCAGATCAGCTTCCTGAGAGAAGGCCCACTAGAGCACTCTGGCTCCCCAAAGGTGCAGGCTTTTCTCTTCTTTTTAGTACACCAAGAGCTACTCAAACAAGGCAAGGATGGAAACCACAGGCTGTTTGCGCTAGCGTGTGTGTGTGAGTGTGCGTGTGATCTTGATATACCACTGATCTACCTGCTTGGTCCAGGCATTTGAGAAATTAGGAGGCATACCATGGGCACCCCAAGACACTGCTGCTGTGGTGCCCTGCCAGCTGTGTTCTCTCCTGCAGTTGTCCTCCTAGATACAACTCACAAGGCCTTTCCTGCTCTTTTCCTTCACAAGTATCTTCCCAAGAAGCCAATCCTGTCCTTCCTACTCGGACATACTTCAGCCCCTGGCTACTGCTGCCAGGCTGCCCACTGAATATCAGTGCAGAGACCTGAAGCATGCCAAGTCACACCTGACTTGCTGCCACCCCCTCAGTCGGAATCCAGGGGCTAAGATGAGCTTCCAGGGTTCCTGTGACTGCCAAGAAATGTTTCAAAAGTAGATAGCCTAAGGTGTGTTCTGAGATAATACCTAGGAGTTAAGCTCCTGGCAAAGCTGCGGAGTCTTGCCTCATAGTCAGACTACAGGAGAAAACGTGTTAACATCCCTGGCTGATACTGTGAACTCAAGCACGTGGCACATGGGATGAAGTGCTGAGGGAGCAAGGCTTTGCACATTCTTTGCCTTTTATGGCCAGGGCAGCAAGCCAGACCTGACACACTGCAGATGAGCTCTGGGATAAGGAGGTTAAAAATGACAGGGCCGACAGCACAGTGACCTTTCTACAGGAATTCCATTTTTGAAACCAACAGAATTGTAAGCATTTTCTCTAGCAACTCATGTAAGAAATGTGGATCAGAACAAGCACTCTCAAGCTCATTCTCTCCCTGGCTGAGTGTTTGCATAAGTACTAACACTGGGATGGGCTTCGGGCCTGAATTGCTGAAAAGTAGCAATGGGATACCATGGCTTTCTCCTTTATCACATTCTGCTGTGCTATGGGACATAGAACATGGCTCCTCCAAGGTAAGAATCATGAAGGACTATTATAACAACACAGTCCATGAAGTCCATGCTTTAAATGAAGGTGGTACCAGATCAAACTTAACTCCACTCTGTTATAGGAGAAGCTGGCCTTTGCAGCTCTGTGGTAGAGCACTTGGCCTAACACACACAAGGCCTTCATTCCAATCCAGCACCAGGAAGTGAAGAGCAAAAAAAAGGAAGTAAACCTTTCCCTGGACATGATTTAACCTATCCGAAGTCCTCCCATGGCACCAGAAGACAGCTTCCACTACGGCTCACAGGACCTGCATTTACAATGACAGCCTCCATAAGCAGCTCCATCCAACTGTCCATCTGGCCAGGGAATAGCATGTATGTTTTCATGTTGGAAATAAGAATGTGGCTTTCTTTACATTTTTTGACTGTCAAAGATCCATATGGAACAAAAATCATCACTAACCTGTACCTCTCTCTTAGCCAGCTCCAAGGCAGTTACCACATTTCAAAACGATATACTCTGGGTGCCACAGCAGGGCTGAGGCTGCTGAGTAAGATGCTGGGGAAAATACAAGGAAAAGAAGAAATTGTGGCTGCATCCCCCAAGCTTGGGGCCTGGTCAGCTTCATTCTAACATCAATGATAAAAGTGAATACAAAACCTTCCAAAAAGGACAAATGGCAAGATGGCCATCAGAGGACAGACCTCTGAACAACCATCCATCCACCAGGGCCTTTGTCACATGTCAGTGGGTTTCAGACACAAAGTTAGTCCGGGCGCTTCTTTCCCTTGGGGACCCTCAAGTATTACTATCACAACAAAAACCCCAGTCTTGGCGCTGGAGAGATGGCTTGCAGCGAACAGCTCTTGCTGCTCTTCTAGAGGACCTGGGTGCAATTCCTAGACCCAACACAGTGGCTCGTAAGCATCTGTAACTCCAACATCAGAGACTCTGAAACCCTCTTCTAGCCACTGTGAGCACCATGCAAGGACATGATGCACGGACATGTGGACAAAACATGCATGCCCATAAAAAATAATTAAAAAAAAAAAACAAATCTGACAGGGATTTGCACAAACAAAGGAATACAAAGTTATGTGCCTATACATACACTAAGAGCATTGTAAAGGAAAAAAATTAATTTTAGGATGAGGCAATTCTTTATAATTTTAATGTAGTGATAAAACTAAATATTCACAATTTAAAGTCACACCTGGTGGTGGCAGGCCTGTAATCACAGCTACTTGGGAGGCTGAAACAAGAGGATCATAAAGCCAAGGCCAGCTCAAGTGACAAAGTGAGTTTAAGGTTAGCCTGAACTACAGAGGGAGTTCAAGGCCAGCCAGTCTCAAAATTTAAAATTTAAAACCCTGTCTCGAAAATAAAAAAAAAAAATTAAAAATATAAAGAGTGCAGGAGACATAGTTTAACAGCAAAACGCCTCATGCTCAAGATCCCATATTTAACCTCCAGCTCCTCAGAGGTTTAAAAAAAAAAAAACCACAAACACTAATAATTTAATAGAAATCTATAAAGAACACTGAAGACTCCTGGGTCCTTCAAAATGCAGGCAATTGTACTATGGGACCCTTCATAATATATAATTCCAGTAAAATCAAAATGCTAAATCTTTTTTTTAAAGATAGGGTTTAATGTAACATAGGCTAGCCCTTGCTGTATAGCTAAGGATGACCTTGAACTCCTGATGCTCCTGCTCTTCCTGCTTCTGTGATTATAAGCCTTTAACAGGAATGGGAACCTGCCTGTACTGCAGGTGGCTAGAGGTTTGGACAAAACTAGTATGAATTAACAGATCTGATGTGAAACAACCAGCCCTCCTAGGTTCTGTTATTTTATGAGCAATATTTAATCTTTCTGATTTATGTTATAAGAGACATGTAGATTTGAATAAAAAGAATTATTGATGAAATACAAAATCCTCTTCTCACAAGCCATTCGACTGTCCTTACAGTCAAGCAAATCTACCAGACGCTGCCTTGAGAGCACGAAAGGTCCTCCTTTCTTTGACCAGAGTCATCCTCTCTTCTCTAAAGGCCTGCCTCTAAAACCCCAAAGCTTTTCAACTAATTGATACCATATTCCAAATCCACGCATTTACAATCCCAGAGAGAGGAAGGAATTGGTCTACAAAGTAAGCTCAAACCTCTTGAGAACACCCTCAGAATAGAGGAAGTTCCCTGCCAAAGATAAAACCCTCCAACATGATTAGAAATTCATCAAGCTAGGACCAGCGTTTATCGCTGAGCTAAAAGGGGTAGCGGTTTGAGACTGGTGATACAGACATAGGAATAACTATGCATCCACAAGAGATGTAGACCTCTGAAGGATAGAGTGGAGGCAGAGGCAACATGTACTTACTTGGCTTTACAGGGTGGGGTCTAAAGGCATGCTGCCCAAAGAGGCGGTGAGGTACAGATAGATGATATCTTAGTTAGGGTTTCTATTGCTGTGAAGATACACCAGGACCACAGCAACTCTTATAAAGGAAAACATTTAATTGGGGTGGTTTACAGTTCAGAGGTTTACTCCATTGTCATCATGGTGGGACATAACAGCATACAGGCAGACATGGTGCTGAAAAGGAGCTGAAAACTCTACATTTTGATCTAAAGGCAACAGGAAGTGAACTGACACTGGGTGCAGCTTGACCATCAAAGGAGACCTCAAAGCCCACCCCCACAGTGACATACTTCCTCCAATAAGGCTACACCTCCTAATAGTGCTGCTCCCTATGAGCTTATGGGACTGATGATGAGCAGGGACTGAGGTAAGGGAAACAGTGGAACATAAAGAAGTATCCCTACCAGCTGGAGGAAACAACCCACATAAAGTCAGAGATGAGAGATCAGCATGGGCAAATATCAGGCTGGTGGGGAAGAGGGAAGGCAAGTTATGGTTGATGGGAGAGAGGGGTGGAGGGAAGGCAAGCCATGAGTGACAGGGAAATTATAATCTGGGTCATTTTAGAGACAATGAGAAGCCACCTGATTAGCAGGGAGGTGACAGAGGCAGAGACAGAGCAGAGGGGGGCAGATTCGAGAAAAACAGGAGGCATTAAACAGGGCTGGGAGGTCAATCCGAGAAACTACGAGGTGCAGCAGAAGAGCTGAGGCAGAGACTAGAGGAGGCTGACTGACACAGCTGACGTGTGGGAACCTGGAGCAGTGCTGGGCAAGTGCTAGCAGAGGGGAGGGGCTCTGTGTAGCCTGGCGCGGCTTTACACTCTCCACCCTCGTGCCTCGGCCTCCTGAGTGCAGTTCTGTTAAGCAGCCACTGTGTGAGAAGGAAGGGCAGTTCAGCAGAAGGACAGTCTGCCTCCCCATGGTGTTTGAAATGTCTGGGATGGTTAAGGCACAGACATGCAGATGGGAATTAACGCAAATGAAGTGGAAGTCACTGGGGGGGGGGGGGGAGATCCAGAATGAGAAAAAGGCTGAAGGTGTGTCAAATGTCAAACCCTACAGGATGGAGATAGAAGCATCACAGAGAATGGGAAGGTAGACTGGAGCCAGCAGAGGGCGACTTGAAACCAGGTAAAGAATACAGAGAGGGTCAGAATAAAGAGTCTTAAGACATATTGATAACTAACTCAGGAGTAAAACTGTTACTTTACAAATGACAAAAATCCCATCAATGGGCTAGAGAGATGACACAGCAGTTGAGAGCACTTGCTGTTCTTCCAGAACATAGGTTTGGTCTCCAGCACCAGCATCAGATGGCTTAGAATCACCTAAAAGTCCAGCTCCTGAGATCTAATGCCCTCTTCTAGCCTACAAGGACTTCTGTTTACATGTAGTACATATAAATACACAAAGGTGCATTACACACACACACACACACTCACACACATAAATGAAAAATATATAAATCCTAACAACAACAACAAATGACAACAAAATTAAAAGGCTGCAGCGACCACAATGGTGAAAGCCACAGAAAGCCTGAAAGAGGCCATGTGGCTCCCCACCACAGGATCACTGCCTGAGGTCGTGGCTATGCCCCATAGAAGTGAACTCTATGAACAAAGAACCCCCCCCAGGGACAAGCCTGTTGAACTGAACCTGCTCACTCATAACCACTGTGCTGGTCTCAAGGATGCTCAGAGGCCTTCCTTGCTGAATAATTTTGTTGCGTTGAAGCTTACAAAGTTACTGTGCATGCTAAATTAGGAAAAGAGAGCTATCCACACTTTCTCCAAAGATCACTTCAAGATAAAGGACCTAAATCAGAAAATGAACAATCAAGGGGGTAGACAAAGGTACAATGAATGACCCGGCTAGTACCTGATGATACATGGGACCATCTTAACTTTCATTTTTACTCCTTGGAGTAACTAGGAAGTTGTCCTACACAGAAAGACTGTTTCTGACTTTGTTTTAAGCCCTACCTTCTGTTGTGAATTATTTAAATTTGTGTGTGTCTGTATGAGGGTATATGAGTGCAGTTGCCAAGGAGGTCAGAAGAGTGTGTCAGATGAAACTACAGGCAAGGTTTTGTCTTTGTTAAAATTTTAAAGTTAATTATTAAATTATATATATATATTGGGGATGGGGGCAAGCACATGAGAGCAGGTGCCCTGAGAAGCTAGACCAGATAATTGCTGGAGCTGGCATTACTGGCTGCCAGACAATGGGTGCCAGGAACTGAATTTGAGTCCTCTCAAAGGACAGGAAATTTGCCTAACTGCTGGGCCATCTCTCCAGCCCCTACAAGTAGTTTTGAGCACCTATATAGGTGCTGGAACACAAATTTGGGTCCTCTGCAAGAGCAGTCCACACTCTGACCACTGAGTCATCTACCCCACCCCTTAATTTTGTAGTCATTATGTAGTGCAAGCTGGCCTTGAACTCATATCACAATCCTCCTGCCTTAGCCTTCTGAATGCTGGAATTATAGCCATGTATACCTGACATTACAGAAAGAAACAGAGATGTAGCTTCTGAGACTTCAAAGCATGCAACCACCCTCCAGTGTCCCCCTTTCCAAAGCACAGGTTTGAAGGGAGTACAGGCCCAGCGTACCAGCAGGACATTCACAAAGACTAAAATAGCACACACTCAATGGGGCAAACAGAGTTAGCCACCACAGCTCAAATGTCTGTCATCTGAACTCTGCTCTTAAAATTATGCTCACTCAAGTCAGCGTTATAAGTATCTGTCATTTTCCCACAGCTGTCATAAATGTAAACAAGTTCACTAAAAAGCTAGAAGACAGCCTACTTTGTCCAATTAAACTCCTACACAAAACAAAGACTCCCCTTAACATGGGAGGATTATGTCTGGAAGCTTTGGAAGAGAACACGGGCTCCAAAGACAGGAATGCAGAGTTAGGGGAAGAGCGTGAAACAAACAACAAACATCCTTTTTTTTTGTTTGTTTGTTTAAAGGATTTATTTATTCCATATACAGTGTTCTGCCTGCACACCAGAAGAGGGCACCAAATCTCACTACAGATGATTGTGAGCCACCACGTGGTGGCTGGGAATTGAACTCAGGACCTCTGGAAGAGCAGCCAGTTCTCTTAATCTCTGAGTCATCTCTTCAGCCCCGAAATAAACATTGTTTAGTGTTCAGAAAGACACACAGATACTCATGTGGTTTTTGGGGTTTTTTTTGTTGTTGTTGTTGTTTTGTTTTTCGAGACAGGCAGGGTTTCTCTGTGTAACAGTCCTGGCTGTCCTACTAGCTCTTGTAGACTAGGCTGGCCTCGAACTCACAGAGATCCGCCTGCTTCTGCCTCCTGAGTGCTGGGATTAAAGGTGTACACCACCATCGCCAGGTGACACCCACATATTTACACAGAGATACCTCTAGGAAGCTAGAGGAAAATCATTCAAACACCCAGAGTTGGCAGAAGAGGCACAGGATGAAAGGAGAGGCAGAGTGAGGAGAGAAACACTCACGAGGGACCACAGGTATCCAAACTGCTCACAGCTTCTGTTACGAAGCAAAGTAATTATGCAAAGTTAAAAACAAGATTAAAAAGCCCTAAACATCACCCCGATTTCAAAAGTTTCTCTGAGAGAGAACTGTGCTTCCCCACATACAATCCAGGCTGGCACTGGCCTCCAACTTATGATCCTCCTGCCTCAACCTTCTCAGTGTTGGAATTAAAGGTGTGTTCCACCATGCTTGGCTCTCTATTTGAACTTTCACAGAAAGAAAAATAAAGGAACTAGATCAAAATTAACAACAATTCTTTGTAGATTATAAACCAATAAGATTATGATTTTTTTCCTTACAGGTATTATCTGGTTTTCCTCTGATTTACTGTTTTTACAATCAGAAAAAAAAAAAAAAAAAAGAACATAGTATTTGGAGTATAAGAATGGCTAAGTACCGGGCATTGGGGGAGCAACAGAGCCAGTTTGCAACTCTATGTGTACGCTCTATGTGATACCTACACCAATGGAAACTCAGCAGGGCTGCTCAGAAGGCAGCTCAATGATGCCAACAACGAACTAAGGGTCGCACTAATTGACATAGCACTTGCCTAGCAGAAGTGCGGTCCCGGGGTCACTCCAAGCACCGCATGATGTGGGAGTGTCATATATCAATCTGTTGATTTCATTGGTTAAGCAATAAAGAAATTCCTTGGCCCTGATAGGTTAAAACATAGGTGGGAGGAGTAAACAGAATAGAATGCTGGGAGAAAGAGGAAGTGAGCTCAGACTCGACAGCTCTGCTCTGAAGCAGAGACACCATGCTCTGCTCTTGGAAGCAGACACACGCGATGAAGCTCTGACCCAGGATGGACTTAGGCTAGAATCTTCCCGGTAAGCGCACCTTGGGGTGCTTACACACATTATTAGAAATGGGCTAAATTAATATGTGAGAATTAGCCTAGAAGAGGCTAGATAGAAATGGGCCAAGCAGTGTTTGAAAGAATACAGTCTGTGTGTTGTTATTTCAGGGCATAAGCTAGCCAGGCGGCCGGGGTGCTCCCGCTCCTATTCAACAACTGCATACACACACACACACACACACACACCCCACAACCTGCGAGACAGCTGCTATAAATCTGGCCTGAACTATAAAGGTTAGCCAAGTGAAAGGATCAAGAGGAATCCAAAACTCCAATGTCCAGTCCTACTTCATTCATAGAACCCCAAATACCAACTCAACAGGAGTCCTCACAGATTGGAGGGGAACATAAAGAGGCGGGGGGCGGGGAAGGCCCCTAACAAGACAGGGAGCAAGCCATGGCCTGCTATGGACAAGATCTAGGTATCAGACTCCATGACCACCCGGCAGCTGTAAGCAGAACTGCCTCTTCATTAACTGTTCTAATTGCCCTTAGAGCTGATACTGCTGTCTCGTGAGGGCAGAGCTGTGTGTTACAAGGGCAGGTAGGTAGAGCCAGCTTGAATATCTCAGACCACTTGGCTATCCTGACATGCTCCATGTGAGCCAGCTCTAGTCATGTTCACTAGGGTCAGAGATCCTGTACTACACTATGACCTTGAGCTTCCATATAAACCCCCAGCTTAATTCTTTTATGAAAAACAAGGATCAGACTGCCTGCCTTTACTGTAGGGACAGTGAGATAAGTGGTTTTGATCCAGTGGGAAAGAGGAAGAATATATTCCAAACTTCTCTATCTCCACGTACTGTTCGCCTCACTGGAGAAACGAATGTTTCTAAACACCTGCACCCAGAAGAGGAGGAAGGGATGCTGCCAAAACCAACAGGCAGCAGTGTGGTTTAGAAGTCCCTTGAATGGAGCCAAAGAATTTCTCGAGTTGTTAAAACCTGCAGTGCACAGAAATACAAAGAGTCACATGGCCATGCCGAATTCTACATCATTCATTCTGCCCTCCCAGCTGTGTTGTCTCAAGTTGAATTCTTAAGGATTCATTACAAGTCAGGAAGAGGTGTGGAGAAACAGCAAGACCCCCCAAGTTCACTTCACCTCTTCCACCAGAGAAAGGACATCAAGGAGCAGAGTGGATTCTCAAATACTCACAGATCATTCTGGAATGTTGCCTGCTGCTGCTGTCACTTCCCTGCATAAGATATCACTGCGTTACAAGAAGATGTTTGGGAATTGTCTAAATGACTCAACTCTGGCTGCTCTTGTACAAGAGTAAGATGTCTTTCTGTTGTTTTATTCCCCCATGGAATAAAGTTTCAAAAACAAACATTATAAATCTGAATGGAAAATTATGAGATGTGTGTGCCCTGGATTCTATTCATGCCCTATGGCTAGCTCCCTCTAGGTCTAAGTTTCAAAATCATACCACATCCTGTTACACAGATATCCACACCCTGGGAACTTTGCTGAGGGTACATATGCCTGCCTTCTAGAGACTGGAAGTGCCACTGGCTACTGAAGTGACATTTGTACCCTCAATCTGTGTCAACGAGACTTATGGTCCTAGACAGGGCTTTTACAGTGCCAAAAACATCAGTGACACTGTGGCATGCCTATTAAAATTCTGCGGCAGAGATTAAAGAAGGCTTAATGCAAGGTCATATAGCTCTTGTTCATGGATCAAAAAACAAGATCCCACCACCAATAAGAATTAAGCAACTGCTAGTGAAATTCAAATGACTTTCTTTTGTTTTTTTGCAGAAATTGAAATAGTGATGGGAAATTCTTAAATTCATATAGAATTTTAAGAGGTTTTACCCAAAACAACACGGGGGGGGGGGGAGGAAAGAAAAAAAAGAAGAAAATGGATTGAAGACTTAAGCATCTCCCTTTCAAACTTCCTACAGAGCTACATGCCAAAAGCAAGGTCCCAATGGGACACAGAGACCAGTGGCCCACAACTGAGAATGCGTAAAGCTAGTACCAACTGTTTCTGACAAAGGTGTCAGTCACACACTCAGTTACAGGAAGGAACAGTCTTTTCAACAGGAGTTGGTTCCCTACCTCACACCATACACAAAGCTAACTCAGAATTGTTGACCGTCTAAATGTAAGAGTTCAGAAACTAAAGCTCCTAAAAAACAAAGTGAGAAACCTTTATGTCTTGGAATTAAACAATGGGTTCTTAGATAAAACACCAAAAGAAAGGCAAGAAAAGGAAAAATTAAGAGTAAAACTGGAGCTTATTAAAATGAAAACAACTTTCAGAATAGGAGAAAATATCTGCAAATCTTATCTAAGAGCACAGCTATCCAAATACATAAAGAACGCTTAAGACTCAAACTGCACATAGCCCAACTTAAGAGTGGACAAAGGGACTTGAACAGACAAGCTTCCAATAAGTACAACAAATGTCACGAAGCAGGTGAAGATGCTCTTTGCCACTGCTCCTCTGGGAAACACAAATCAATCACCACAGGTACAAGTTCACATTCTCTGTGCTGGATAGAAGAAAGAAGTGGTAAGTATTGTCAAGGACATGAAGATACTGAGACCTATGCATTGGTGGTGGCAGCAGAAAATGGGCAGCTGATGCCAGGCAGTGATGGCACACGTCTTTAATCCCAGCAACTAGGAGGCAGAGGCAGGTGGATTTCTGAGTTTGAGGCCAGTCTGATCTACAAACCGAGTTCCAGGACAGCCAAGGCTATACAGAAAAACCCTATCTCGAAGGGAGAAAAAGAAAAAGAAACTGGGACAGCTGCTATGGTAAACAGTTTGATGGCTGTCAAAGGTTACACAGACTCACCATTTGATCTAGCAACCTCCATCCTAGATATTACACACCCAAGAAAAACGAAAAGATGTCTACAAGAACTTGCACATCACTGTCTACAGCAGCATTATTCACTACTCACAGTAACAGATTCAAATGCCTACGAACAAATTGTGGCAGATCCATGTAATAGCTATTACTGTTACAATAATTATCAATATTTGCACTAACATTCAACCTCAGTAAGAATGAAGCACTTGTACATGGTACTTTGTGGATAAACCTCAGTTTATTACCTAATTAAAAGAAACACGAGTATATAAAATCCCCAGGGGCAGAGAGGGTAAGGGCAGTGATGAAAATGTTAGCAGATAGCTGCTCTATGCTATGAAGTACTACATGTCACTGAAAAGTTGACTCTTTAAAATACTTAACTTTATGTTACATAAATTCCACCTCAACCTACAAACAAACCTGTAGCTAGGGATCATCTGGAGCTCTGTTTGGCGGTCTTTGTGCACCACGGAGAGCCCCTTTCAGCCTAGACCATGGACACACCATGACTTAATGCAGGAAGCTGCTGTACCAGGAGGTGAGACTGCAGGCACTTGACCCTTTCGTTTTTTTCTTTCTTTCTTGGAAGTTTGTACAAGTGGCTTCTCTCCTCCACCTCCTCCCCCTGGTGGTTCTGATGAATATAAGCACACCACTTTTCATCCAAAATGCCAAGACAGGAACTCTGAACAGACCTGTTCAGACTAAAGCTTGGGAGCTTTAAGCAGTTGCTTGGGCTAAGAGTCACCACTGTCAGCAAGAAACAAAGTTTCCTTTGATCTGAGAAGTGATAGCTAGAGCTGATCTGGTGCCTTTGGCTTTCGCCTTTTGAGTTAGGCTAGCTTAGGCCCCACAGTGTAGCTTGGCCTCTGAGCTGTTAGTAAAACTGGTCTCTTCCAGAGCCTTCTTTTCTATTTCTAGGTTTTCTCTGTTCATGACACAAAGCATTACAGATTTTCATTAGTTTTTCCTTTAACCTTGCTTGGAGTTTAAGGGAAAAGTGGTACAGTAGTGTCAACCATGACACTCTGAACCATAAAAATGGTTAAAATGTATCATCTCTCAATGAGCCCTAATTCTACTTAAAGGACAAAGAAAAGGTGCACAAGAGCAATAGTAGGTGACCAGAGTAACCTTCCCTAACAGCTTCTCTACAGCCAATATAGATCACATCTGTTAAACCACTTACTGGAACCTAGCAACAAGAACTCTCTTTATAGGAAAAGACACTTCCACTGAGGAATGAGTCAAAGAACAAGCATTTTCTGAGGAACAAATATATCCCTAGTGGCATGACAGCAGCCAAAGAGCATAGAGTCCAAAAGACTTCAGGGGACCATCTGAAGGCGTCCGGTGCTCCAAAACAGCTCAGGCATTTGATACCTTGCATACATCCTTAGTAAACATCTGACTGAATTAGTGTTATTAATAAGTTTTTCTTGGTCTGTTTCAGTGCTGACATAATGAGCTGGAAGAGTCCCCTTTCTCTAAGCTTTCTCACAGTTCCCTTTAACTCCCTGCTTCTGCAATTCTCTCCCTGGAGGACAAGTCACTGAGGAAAATAAGTAAGTAGGCTTCTAGAATCAGGGAAAGCCCTTGCTCCTGAAGAGGAACATCTTACCCATCTTTGCATGCATCTATCAGTGAACAGGTACAGACTGGTGACTCTGTAACCAAGACCCCAGCTCCACACGGCGTCTCCATTCCTCTGTCCATACACTTTATTCCCTTCACACACCTGTTCAGGCATTTGGCTGCTCTTCTTCTTCAATAAACATATTTCTCTCCTCCAATTGCCATTTCCTTTTACAAAAAGGCTTTATTTCCCATGAGGGATTATCTTGAACCACAACCAGAATTGTCATCTGTCTTAACTTGTTTGGTTCTACGTTTACCAACACTGTTGACACTAGACTGATTTCCTTGAAACTCAGTTTCCTTTGGTGAGTCAGAATGGGTTCTCCTTCCCTCTGGACTCTGACCAGAGCAACTTCTGTCACTTCGAAGTTCAAAGCCATTAGGAACCCAACATAAAGTTCTCAAAGAAAGAGAAGAGAGGTGTTTGCTATCTAAAAGAAAATACAATATTAACAAATAAAAACGGAAAAACTTAAGTGTTAACAAATTTGAGCTATGGGGAAAGACTCCCAAGAAAACACCTGTTTGTCCACAAGTCCATCAACTGCGCATTTGCACACAGAAGGCAACAAAAGGTTTGCAGACAAGATTTACCCAGCCTTCTGATTTGGCATGTTAAGAACCAAGCACTATGAAAGGAAGGTGGAGGGACTGCAGCACTGAGATTCTCTCAAGCTACACACTGGGTATTACCATCACCGTCAGAACAGAATGAAGACCTGTCTATTATAAAGGGGTTAGAAGAAACTGTAGATTCAGAAGAGCGACTGTTCATTTGTTTAGCGAGCACGGATGAAGAGTTAAAGCCATCCATCAGCCTCTCACATTTTATCTAGTCACTTGCTTTTTACTTCATTTAACTTTTGCAATCAATGGTCCTGCCCAGTTGGCTGGCTAACATGGTTTGGGACAGAAACCCTGAGTTCTGACTGCCTTGCAGTACCAGGGTCTTCCTACTCCATCCTCAAGTGCTAGGTTCCAATTCCATTCCATATTTTGTGAAATAGCAACAACAGGGCTGCAAAGCTACAGAATGGACTGAACTCTGACCTCTGTGCCTCACAACCTCTTTGGGCATCCGGTAAGCTATCTGCAGGCAGAATGGCCCCCTATGAAACAGACAGCTAATTGCAGATGGGGCAGAGACAGAACAAAGAGTTAAAAGCCTCTACCAACAGTCTCCTTCTCAAAGACTGTCCTCTATGGTGGCTTGCCACATTCCACCCAACAACAGCTGCTCGTGATAATCAACGTCTGACAGATCAGAGAAAGCCCTTAATGTGTCGCCAAGGGCCAGTTCAACAGATGGCACGATGACTTACAACCAGAATCATTAATTACAATCTCTTATTAGTCCCAAGATACAGAGCTGAAATGCTTCCTCAGTGAAAGATGAGTGCATCAGATAAATGGCCGTCTGCTACTGCTGATGAAGTTTCCTTTAGGAGTTCCGGTCAGTGCTGAATCTACAGGAAAGCCACACCACTGCTCAGCTGTCTCCTATCTTTCACAAGCTGGCTAGGCATTTGAAGTCCCCAGCACCTCTAGCTATTACAGCTGCCATAGTCACTGCAAGTAAGGATATGGCACTCCCTCTCTAGTCAGCTGACCACAGAATGACATACCCCACAACCACTAGAGCTAGCTCAACGCTCCCTCCCTCTGTGTCAGAGAACTTTCCCTAGTGGAAGAAAGGCAGCCTTCCACTCCCTTTTCTACTGAGGGGGCTTCATGGGGTGTTTCTTGTAATCATTATGATGTATTCTCCTCTAGGAAGAGACCCCTACTCTCTTCCTAGAAACATAGAGAGAAGAAACTGCTGAACCCCAACAGCCACACTGCTGGCTCTGCTCCCCAGGGACAAGGAGCTACGCTTAGTTAAAAAGCAGATAGTGAGGGAATGACTCAAAACCCTTTTTTTGCTGGAGACACTGAGCCACATGCTCTCAACACAGGAAAAGTGGGTTCCTGCCCATAGTAGAATCAGACTACATAAAAAACTGAACTTGTAGACTATGTACAGAAAGAGCTTGCAGGCAGGCGCCTTACTGGCAAGAACGTACATATGTCAGAAACAAACCTCAGAACAATGCAGGCTCCCAATATAACCAGCTAAGTGCCCTTCGGTTTGCTGACCTAATTTATCAACTGTAACACTAAGTTGAAACAATTAAAGATCCTAAATGCTGTGACTGAAGGCACTGTTTTCACTGTGGGAGATTTTCTTTCCTGGACACGTAAAAATGTGACTTCAACTCTGAACTAGGCTCCAGTAATTACAGTTATCCAATGGATGCTCCTATCTCACTTGTTTCCAAAAGATTAAAAAAAAAAAAAAAAAAAAGGTTAACTGAGGAATAAAATGGGCTTTAGGAAGGCAATTCAGGCAGCTTGGGTCTGCTCTGCAATGTACTCACTTCTAGCTTTTTCTCTTTTTCTGACAAAACCTCTTTCTGGTTCTGGGTGTACTCCACCAGCATCCGAGCCAGCTGGCGCCGGTCTTCCAGTTCAGCTGCCAGGCGCCCGTTATATTCCGCTAGTAACAGACATGCTTCATCTACCGTTTTTGAAAGACGTTCAGCTGCCTCTTTGTCTGAGTACAAATAAGAGAGAAAACAGAGACAACATACAAATCACATAGGTATGATTGCAAACATTCCTGAAAGAAGGGTCACACAGTCCAAGAATAAACCAGAACCTGTGAACCAACAATGCTGGCTAGCCAAGACTCCAAAGGTGCCAACTCTGTCAACAAGACATATTTCTGAACTGCCTGAAGTGAGGCAACTGGATGGGACAGGAAAACTGGCATGCTGAAAAGAGCTTCCAGCAAAAGTTCTTCAGACAAAACCAGCATATAGATATTTAGGGTCATCTGTGAAATGGCTTCCCTTGTCTGTGAGAAGACGGAGTGCTTTTGCTTCTATTACCGCAGACTTTCCCCACTGTTCTGAAGTAACAGAGAGCACTCACATCTTGGGTGTGGAGGAGAGGCTCAGAATGTGGTCTCAGACGCTGATCTGCAGGACTCTGTCCACCAAAGACAGAGCCTGAAAAAGAAGAAGGGTCTCTCAAATGTATCTGAGCACAACCCTCAGTGGGAATAGTTTATAAAATCACAAATAAGCAATGCCACGCACGGTAGCTCACACTTGTAGGAGGACTGCCATAAATTCCGTAAGTCTGGGTTACATAGCAAGGTTCCCCACAACAACCCCCCCCCAAAAAAAAAGAAAAAGGAAAGGAGGGAACAAACATCTTTTTCTTAAATGTGCAAAATATTTTGTGTTGTATTTTTAAAGTATTGGTCACCATTGACCAGACTGATTTCCTATCCTAATAATGGCCTGTCACCCATGCTTTGGGGAGAGGAGAAGAACAAGCCCTGAATCATAAGAAAAGGGATTCTTGGAAAGAAATGCTAAAGAAAGGCTGATGTAGCAAGTGAGCAGAGGCAAAAGGAGGTTTAGATCCATCAAGAACTGCTACACCTGTATGATGGTGGCACAAGCTTAAACGTGTGCATCTTGCTTTAAAAGGTCTTCTGGGGGCTGGAGAGACGGCTCAGGGGTTAAGAGCACTTATTGCTGTTGTAGAGAACATGGATTTGGTTCCCAGCACCCATATCAGGTAGCTCATACAGTTCTGGAGGATCCAATGCAATCTCCACACCTGCATATATGTGATGTAAATAAATTCATGTAGGTGGGCGCACACACACACACAAGTATAAAATAAATATTAAAAATAAATAAAAACAAAATTTCTTTGGGATGAAAATAGCAGGTTGATGTTTTGAAGAAAAGGGCATCAAAGCTTCCAGCAGCTAGACAGACAGTTCAGTGACACAAATCTGGAGCTCTCAGCATTCTTTGAGGCAATGAAATTAAGGAATTTCTAGCACAGAACAGCTATCTGGTCCTTACTTGCCTCTGTGAACAATAGGAAATGAACTACTGAGTGCTCTCCATCTGGGTCTGACACCAAAGATCAAGCTTTCCTCCCTCTGTGGGCTAGAGAACACATACTTGGGAAGGAGTGAGCAAAACAAGGTGGGAAGAAGGCCTGTGACAGAGGGCAGGGGACCACACAGTACAGACTGGTGGTGCGGCCCGTGAACAAGCCTGAGCGGCTGCTTTCAGTTGTGTCAATCCTTGACTACTGATCTCTTTTTATTACTCAAGAGTTATACAACCCACACTGGCTGGGAATCAGATCAGTGTCTTGTTCAACCATCATCAGTGAAGCTTCTTCCTGCAGTGAACTGGACAGTGTACTGAGAGAGACTTTGGAACTCCCAGCCCTAAATGGGATGTCTTCATCAAACCCCTTCCCTTAGGGCTCAGGGAGCCTTGAGGTTATAAGAGCCAGTGGGGATGGAGGAAATCAAGGAAACAGTTATCTTCTGGACACAACAGGACTGAACACACATGAACTCAGAGACTGTGGCATCATGCACAGGTTCAAGCCAGAAGAGGTACCAGTGCTGAGAGTGGAAGTGGACAACAGCCCTCATCTATAACTCAAGTGTCAAAAACCTGCAAGGGAAAGATTAGTTTTTCCCAATGGAGTCTCACCGACACACAAAGCACATTTAGAGGCAGCTCCATGCCCAGTAGTAGATAGCCAACACAAAATTAACTCAATGGTACTGGAGAGGTCTTGACCTGTAACACTTTGTATGAGCAACAGTCACTCTACTGGTCTTTTGTTTGTATGTATGTATACATATATATACACATATGTATATATATTGTTTCTGATTTTCTGTTTCTGCTTTGTTTATGTGTGTATACATATATATGTGTTTCTTATGCTTTTTGTGTTTTATTTTTAATTATGGTTTGTTCTTTTATTTGTCTGTTTGTTTTCAAAAGAGAGAAAGAAGGTGTGGAGTTGATGGGTAGAGAAATGGAGAGGATCTGGAAGAGGTGACTGGGGGGAAATTGATCAATATGTATCATATGGGAAAAAATTTCAATTTAAAAGGTGGGTGTCACACAAAAATTGCAGTTCAGGGAGCTGGAGAGATGGCTTAGTGGTTAAGAGCATTGCCTGCTCTTCCAAAGGTCCTGAGTTCAATTCCCGGCAACCACATGGTGGCTTACAACCATCTGTAATGAGGTCTGGTGCCCTCTTCTGGCCTGCAGACATACACACAGACAGAATGTTGTATACATAATAAATAAATAAATATTTAAAAAAAAAAAAAAGAATGTGAGAATATATTTTAAAAAAGAAATTGCAGTTCAAATGCGGAAATCTTGCCTGGGGCTGACGGCTGTGCTCTGGCCTGCCTTCCCCATGCCTTTAATGAGCCGCCTCCTGAGGCCAGTCCTCTGCCTGGGCTCGGGAATCCTGCGTTCCTGGTTGACTCACTCAAACACTCAGTTTCTGACAGTCCCCAAGCTTCCCTACTTCCTCCATTTCTCTCTTTTCTTAAGAACCACCAGCACAGGAAGAAACCTGTAGCTGTCTCCCTACCAGCTAGCACTTCTCAGCTCTTACCTCACTTCCCTGCTCCCCTTAACAGCAACTCAGGAGGCGCTTAGTCCCTGCAGCCAGTCCCTCTTTCCAATGTCAAGAAGTTAACCCCAATCAGCCTTACAAATTCTCAGTGTACACCCTTCAATCACTGTTGTGGGATATTTGTACACTGTGTGAAAATGTTTTGCTATGATTGGTGTAATAAAAAGTTAAATGGCTAATAGTTAGGAAGGTATTAGGTGGGACTTCCAGGAAGAGAGGATTCTGGGAAAAAGGACGGAGCTGCCAGCCAGACACAGGGGAAGCAGCATGGTTAGTATGAAACGAGCCACTTGACAGAACATAGATTAAAATAAAGAAGGACAAGCCTAAGATAAGACCAAGCTTTCATAATTACTAATAAGTCTCCAGATCATTATTTTTGAGTTGGCAGCCCAAAGAAAAAGCCAACTACAAATCACCCAGAAAGTATCTGAGCACTTCTCATGTGCCTTGGTTTTCAGATACCAGGGACAAAAGATAAGAAACATCCTCTGCCTTTAAGTGTGGGTCTTACTTAGAAGGAAGGGAAGTCACACATAGTACTGTATTATCAGCTGAAGATCAGAACTACAAAGGAGTAAGTGGGGCACTGGGAGGGAGAGGACCAGCATTTTCAGTAAGGGAATGGGAGAGGCTTCACAGAGGTGGTAGAAGAGAGAATACAGACTCAAAGGAAGGGAGACTCAAAGATTCCCAAAGCAGAAAGCTTTCCCTGATCACCTTTATCTCCTTGCTGATTCACTGCCCACCAACTCTGCCTCCTCCTTAACATTTAATCCGTGAAAAGCTATGGACACGACACCAGGAACACCTGCTATACGGTGAACCTTACAGATATGCCAACTGAAGGAAGTTACTGCCTCAGGAACTTTAACTTCTTTCAGGTGAGCATGAAGGAAGTCAGGGAAGCAGCCAGCTCAAGGGGCTGGAAGGGAAATGACCTGGAGAGAATGGGATAAAAGTATTGAACTTTTGCAATGAAAAGACCATTTAATTTGAAGCCTAGGTTGAAATCCCCAAATTCACTGCATATGTGATTTTGGCCAAGATGTCTAACTTTGCAAAGTCTCAATCCTTTCTTATATATGAGAATACAATTCTTCAAAGATTATCACAAGGCATAGAGTGCCAGGCACAGAACATGCTTTTTAAAAGATTAGCTCGTACTTCACTCCCTTCTTCAACTGCTTGTGCAGAAAGCAAGAACAGTGTCAACGCCTCTGTTTACCCAGGAATGACCGGGAGGAGCTCAACACCTGCATGGCACTGAACCACCTCCCAGCGTGTTAGTGTGTACTGCATTAAACAACGCAGCTGTGTATCACACACTTCCTTCCTCTTAGCAAAGGTTCTGAGTTCATAGCCTATCCTTTCCTGGCTTCCTCTGCCCTACACATACAAAATTGGTACCATGCTGTCAGCGGATCTTATTCAGAGAGTAGCTGGCTGTGACACTCCAGCATTTCTGCTGTAACTATTCAGATCACTATTCACATTCTGTTTCAAAAGATTTTTGTTGTGATCTATTTTTAATTATTTATTTATTTAGGATTTTTGCTTTTTATTTGTATGAGTGTTTGTCTACATGTGTCTAAGTACATCACTTGTGTGTCTGATGCCAAAAGAGGTCAGAAAACAGCATCAGATCCCCTGGAACTGGAGTTACAGGCAGCTGTGCCACCATGTGGGTGCTAGGAACAGACCCAGGTCCTATGAAAGGGCAGTAAGAACTTTTAACCACTGAGCCATCTCTCCAACCCCAAAATTTATTTGTATTATTTTTATTTATATGTATGAATGCATGCAAGTATGCCATATGTGTGTGAGTGTCCATGGAGGTCAAAAGAGTACATCAGATGTCCTGAGTTAAAGGTATTATAGCCGCCCAAGGCAGGTGTCTGAAATGAAACCCAGGTCCCCTGCAGAAGCAGGAAGTACTCTGAATGTGGAGCTACCTGTCCAGTCCCTCCAAGAACTTCCTCCTTTAGCATGCTGAATGGCTTTACATGCCAACATGGCAGAGCACCCACCATCACAGAAAGTCTCTGCCTAGGATACAGCATGACTACAGAAGGCTCCTCTTTCCTCTTTCATCTGAATGACCTCTCACCTGTTATTTTTTCCAGCAGCGACACATCCTGCACTTCCTGGGGCAGGGAAGCAATCTTCTGCCGAACAGTAGCATCTCCCGAAGCGGCATTTTCCAGATCCTGTAATGCTTTGATTAGCTCCTCAGTCTATAAAGGGCAAAGACAAATATATAACCCATTAAGATATAATGGAGCTAAAGAAAATTAGCTAAAAACAAATTATAAAAACGATCATTCTTAGCATTAAAAAACAGGTCAAAAGTCACACAAACAACTGTTCTTAGTACCAGGAATTTGTGGTTGGAAAGATATGAATTCTAAAAGACATAAAGTTAGTTAATTGTTCTAAGTCTACAAAACATAAATAAACCTCTATAGAATATTTTTTAATTAAAGAGCATATTTTTGGCAACTTAAGAATATGGACTCTAGTTCATGCTGCTTAATTTCAAATAAAGTATTGTTTATAGTATAAAACAATCTATAATATAGAAAAAAGACCTAAATACCAGATGTTGAACATCTGTGTGTTGGCTGATTACATTTTTCTAGAGTTTGCCTTACAAAGTTAAGATCACTGCCAATATTAAAATGTGAAATGAATTAACTCATTAGGTGTTAAAAATAAGAAAAGCATATTCTGCATCTACCAAAGGGGCTTTACCAAGCCATGAGAAAACACAGAATGCTAATAAGTAGCCGAGCACAACGACCCAAGAACAGCTGGCTATGCAGGCAATAGTTAGATTACTCTGAAAGCTGATAATCCAAGCTCCTCCCCTTTAAAGTTTTTAGATGCAAAGATATGACCTACCATTGCTATTATCTAATCCTGTCTAATCCGTAGCTTTAACATCACACAACACACACATACTTCCTAGTTATCTATGTCCTGACCATGTCCATGCAGAAATGCAGAATACAGTTAAGATGAGGCAGTCACATTCAACAAACAGGACATGGACAGACAAGTATGGTGGCATGCACTTGTCATTCCAGGACCAGGGAAGCTGAGGCAGGAACATTGATTTTTTTTTTTTTAAAGGGCCTCACTATATAGCCAGGATGGCCTCACACTCATGGTTCTCGTGCCTCGGACTCCCTAGAGCTAGTTTCACAGGTGAAATCTGCTATAAGAGGAAAACATCAAGTTTAAGGTCAGCTAGCATCAAAAGTAAGACTCTTATCTCAAAACATTAAAAACAAAACAAACAAAAAAAGGGACATGAACTCTGAATTATGACAGATCTGAATTCAAATTAAGATACTTGGCAAATTACTTAAATACTATTTAATCTGTTTTTGGCGGCTTATTGTTTTGATGATAAACAGATGAACCAGATCAAACTTGTTTCATAAGGGGTTATCTAAGGCAAATGCACCCTTAAATACTAACTCCCTGTTGCAATACTTATAACAGAGGCTATAGTGAAGCAAATTTATTATCGGCAGTTACAAGACTGTCCTTAGATAGTAATAAGTTGTTTGCTTATAAACAAGAATGCTATTAGCAAAAGGCACAGCAAAGTGCTTCAAAACATCTTTATCATACCATATAAATCTGCTTTTAAAGAATACTTTTCACTTTTAGAAGATAAAACCAATTCCAAACACTTTATAAAACAAAAACCCATTGTAAAGTCATGGTATAAAAAGTCAGATGTCTGGTGAGCTGTGTCTGGGTGGGCTATTGTAGCTGCTGCCCTTTGACAAGCTACACTACTGATAACAAGCGCCACCTCGTGGTCATGATCTTCAATTAGAGGTCACCTGGAGTCACTGGGTCACATACCAAGAGGGGGCCTGCAGAAGGATCTTGGGGAGAGTAACTTCCGGGGTAGTCATCATCCTCCTCCTCTTGTATCTGCTGAAAAGTTCGTTTCAGAGACTTCTTCTCTTCTGTTGCTAGGAAAATACATGACAGATGTGAGCTGCGTGACCTGCATAAGCATCCAGTGCCCTGTTAAATGACCACAGGTAAAACTGGGGGAGAGGGTGGGGTGTTCAGTTTCAGAGATGGCTTCATGCTAACTTTCTTGCTAGTTCTTTTAAATTGGTGCAATTCCTTATGTTACTGAAGAGACAAAAAAGTTCCCAGTCTGTCATCTCAGATCTATTCTTTGAATCCAAGAAACTACTGGAAAGCGGCTAAAACTGGTATGTCCCAAGCTACCATAGTTAGAACCTTCCTTCCTTTAAAAGAAGTAAACAGTAAAATAGTAAGAAGCATGAGGCAATACATCGAAATAAACAGACTTGTATGGGAGGCGGGGAGAGACAGAGAACACAGTGCACATGAAACAGTTTTATGCTTTTCAAAGATCATTTTAGAAAATAAATAGGAGGAACAAATTCACCAATAAAACTATCAAAGATTTCAAGTACAAATACCCTTTCAACTCTTTCTTTAAGACCAGAATAAACCTAATTTTACTGTAAAATAAAAGCCAACTATTACTGAGAAACATGATTGATACTACTGGAAGAAATTACTTAAGTTTTCATTCTAGAATTAACTACTTTTGAAGCTGGCAAGTTACATTCTTTATTATCTGTCCCCTGTGCTTTTACATGATTATGATAGATGTGTTAATTCTAAAATCATTCTTATTGCATCATACAGGGCAACACAAAACAAGCACAAACAACTGGGGAAATAAATCTAAATGATAAATCTACGTTTAAAAGAAATATTGGACACCAAATATGTGCAGAGCATTGCAATGGTTTTCTTTCCTTTCGTCTTTCCAACAACTCTGATAGAACATTCTATTACAAGGAGAAAAAGACTCAGGGAGGTTAAACAACTCCCTGGCACAACACCCAAGCCCATAAGTCTTTCCACTATACACAAACAACTAAGCACAAGTACTTTTATCTGTCAAAGGGGGGGGGGTACCAGGCACCCACCTCGGAACTTGTATGTAACTCACCAGGAAGGTGCACACATGCTCACTTAAGTCTCCTCTGTAACCAAGGATGTGGCTCCTATTTTCTATCTTACACATTTATTAGTTATGTTAGACAGAAAGACCAGTCAGGAGTATGTATTGTATTTTTTTTTCTTATAGTTTTGTTTTATGGATGGAAGTGAGAAAATAGCTGGCCACATTTATGATGAAGGCCGTCCCTGTTTCACATAACGCTACTATGGAGAACAGCTCTCAGTTTAGTGAAATGACACCAGTTCCCAGCAGCACACTTCGGGTCTCATGGTCAGGTGTATTAACTGAATACTGGGATGAAGTGATTTTTCTAATAGTTCAGTCCCCAAATCACAATCGATAACCAATCACTTCCTTTTCGCAATGTCTGTCAGTGAAGTCACTGTGCACTGCATCCTCAGCCCACAAGACAGGGGAGTGGAATATGTGTCATCCCATTTGACAGATGCATATCACATTTCATAAAAATTCCAATAGAGAATTGACCATAAAAATGAAAGCACAACAAAGAAGCTGCAACTAAAGCCATGGTGGAACTGAATCTGAATAGCACTAAGAGGAGCTGAGAAGTAAGTACTTGACTAAGGGCGATGCTGCACAGAGGGGCCTAGTGATGCAGTGAGGCTAACACTGCACAGAGGGGCCTAGTGATGCAGTGAGGCTAACACTGCACAGAGGGGCCTGGTGATGCGGTAAGGCTAACCCTGCACAGAGGGGCCTGGTGATGCGGTAAGGCTAACGCTGCACAGAGGGGCCTGGTGATACCAACTTAGCAGCAAAAATAAAGGATGATGGTGGAAGAAGTGACCCCACAAAAACACTTCACACTAAAGCAACTTTCAGGATGTGTCTAGTGATAAACACCTGCAGCCTCAACTGAGCAGAGGCAGAGACAGGTATGGAAGAGTTCAAGGCCAGCCAGGAGTACACAGCACAACCCTGACTCAAAATAAAGTAAAAAGGGAAAGGGAGAGGCAGGGAGAGGAGCAGAGAAAAATGTAGAGCTCAATAAAAAAATCAATAAAATTAAAGAAAAAAAAAAGAAAGCTTCCTCCTCCACATATTGCTGCTTTAGTGATACTCTGTCAAATTAAATAACAAAGCTACTATGAAACAAATACTTAGAAACTATAAACAAAATAAATCTTCCTTTCCTTAAAAAAATAAAAAAGTAAAAAGGCCAGAGGATGTTAACTCACTGACAGGACACTTACCTGACACACATGAAGTCCCCTGTCTAATACCCAGCCTTCAAAAAAATATTAAAAAGAAAAATTCCCAGTTTCAAAACACTGAGAGACTGTTCAAACTATTTTTGATACACTTGTTGCAATGAAAGTTACTTTGTTTCAATATTTCTACTTTCTGTTTTACTCTAGTTCTAAGAATGAAATTTAGGGTCTTACCCTTGTAGGCAGGCCCTCTGTTGTTAAGTTTCATCAGGGACAATGGTCTATTGAGACAGGGTTTTCTTTTGTTTTGTTTTTTCAAGGCAGGGTTTCTCTGTGTAGCTTTGGAGTCTGTCCTGTACTTCACTCTTGAAGAAAAGGCTGGCCTCGAATTCATAGACATCTACCTGCCTCTGCCTCCTGGGTGCTGGGATTAAAGGTGTGCACTACCACCGCCTGGCTGAGACAGGGTCTTGTTATGCAGCTCAAGCTGTCTTCAAATTCCTGTGTAGCCCAGGCTGGTATTAAACTAGCAATCCTCCTGCCTCTGTCTCCTGAGTCGTGGGACTGCAGGAATGTGCCACTGTGCCTAGAAAAAGCCACCGGTAGTTCTACTGTTTTTTTCTTTTCTCTATACATTTGTAGTTAGTGTTATAACTGATAAAAAAGGGGCAGAGAACTGAAATTTTCTACATGGATCATTAAATTCTTTTTGCATAGTTTTGATTTACATGATCATTTTATAGTCTTGCAAAGCAAAGATGATATATTGTTAAGTGGAAAACCCACTAGCATATGGTTTACATATGAAATATCCAATAGTACTCAGTGCACAGTAGCTGCTTAATGTGTGGCATGTGGTATAACCCACACACACTCAGCCACTACAGCATAAAAGTGCCATGTGAAAGGAGTGGCCACCAGGATATGAATATAAGATCAAAATAAAATTTTTAAATAAAATATGAATATAAAATTTACACTACTGTGGCCCTGAAGAGTTGGCTCAATGGTTAAGAGCACTGGCTGTTCTTGCAGAGGACCCAAGTTCTGTTCCCTTTATCTACATGACAGTTTACAGCTGTCTCTAACTCCAATCCATACATACATAATTAAAAATTTAGTAAATAAAAATAAACAAAAAACTTTTAAAAAGTTCCAAAAGAAAGTAAAGGCAAACTCTATGAGTTACCCAAATATAATGAATTACCCATGAATCAATACTGCAATGTGAACAACTATTCAAATTTGGAAATGAGCCTCTGGGGAAGTCAAGGGTGTTTGAAAGGAAGGTAATAAACGAGTTTGATCATCCAGCTCCGGAGAACACAGGAGTGAGCTGTGTGACTTACACACCCAGGGAGCTACTGAGTGTCTGTCTCTACAGGATGAAGGGGAAGGGAAACAGTCTTTAGACAACCGACACTAGCACACAACTCCAAAGGAGTCGTTCCCAACACTGCCACAGTGCTGCCACTGCTGGAACCCAGGGCAGAAAACAGCTAGCTTTTCAGAAGCAAGTAAAACAACAGTTTTCTAAGTAAAACAGTAATGGCACAAAGCCTGAAAGCACTTTCTTAGAAAGTCTCTTTCAGCGTACTGTAAAGTACATGGTAATTTTAGAGCTGGAAGAGACTGTAAGAGCACACAGGTAACGGGCTGAAGACATGTTATTGTCACTCATGCTGATCCTGAGGGGTCCGACAGCAGAGGTGTGTGCACAGCACCAGAGAACAAGGCGGGGACAGCTACACGGGGGCCAGGGTGGCATTCTTGGGAATACACTGCCACAAGTGAAAGGGGTGCAAAGATGTGTTGTGAAGAACTGCAGCAGATGCAGAAAAGCAGCCAGCAAAGCGTCCAGAGGGACACTTGGAAACTCAGCCTGCCCATGAACCAGGAACATCGTGAAGGCACGGACTAAAGAATCTCCAAGTGGACTAGTCACATCAGAAGGCCTCCTTAATATGGTGAGTACTGACCTGATCGTTAGCAGTAAGTGTAAGTGGAGTCAGATCAGAGCGACAGCTTAGGAGCTGGTGATGACAACTAGAAGTAACATACAACTAACGAGAGACAGAAAAACCAAACATTTCAATTTATTCTTTAGAGAAAAAATAACATGGGCTCTTAAGAATTTTAAAATTCACATACATACTTCCCAAGGATACTCTAGGCTCAGTAAAGATCAAAATCAATATAGACAATAAGTTGGCAATCATAAAAGGATAGAAAACCAGATTTATTATTAATAAAGTCAAGTTCTAAAAGGGCAAGGGAATGATACAAGGCCCTGCTTTGGACAATGTCATGGTCAGGGCGAGGTATTTCTTAGTCAACCACAATTCTAAAGAAGTTGGTTATTCCTTTTCCTGTGCGAGGACAGTTCCTGAAAGAGCAAGAAGGGCCAAAAACCCACACAGGAAGTGAGGGAGTGAGAACATGGCAGCATGAGCACAAGAACCAGGCCTGCCCACTGCGAGCTCTGTCTAAATTCTCACCATCACTCAGCATCATCTCGCTCTGAAGAGTCAGAAGCGGCTGGTGGACCACAGCAGCCACAACAGCCCCCACTGCAGCTTTTCATGTGGGACTGGGAGTAGCAAAGACCAAGAGCTGTAAACATGTGGTGATGTTTCTACCTTTGGGGGGAGGGCTCTTGGAGTCCTCCATAGACAGCTTCAGCTGCTGTATGAACTCGCCGCCATACACACTTCGTTCTTGCCAGATGTTCAGCAATCTTTCTAAAGGTTTTTTACAGCCTTCATCTGCCTCTCTGCCCAGAAAAGATGAAAAGATATATATATATAAGCTTAAGTTTTTGTTTTTAATTAGGACAGATCCATTAAAAAAAAAAAAACAACAACTGCCAAAATGATTTATATACTTAAAACAAGAATGCGGTATACCCTGTACTATTTGGAGTCCCAAATCTTGACAGAAACTGCATTCCTCCCATGGTGAGTGGGGAAGAGGCATCCCATAACCCAAGGAATCTTTTTTCCCCTTAGAAATGTGGGAGAATAGGAAAAAAAAACCCTATATGACTGGTTTTAACAGACAGAAAACAAAATTGATCATATCAATTGTGACAACTTGCCTTTTCAGAAGATGTCAATTTAAATTAAGTCCTAGGCATATACTGGAAATTAAAATTAGCCAAACCTTTAAGATGTTAAAGGCACAAATGTTTAAATTTACTACATCAACACACCAACACCTCTACATGCATACATATCTGTGCTAAAAATGTCTCAACATTACCTACTGCATAACGACTTTAACACTGGCTGAGCCTGAGTCCCGTGTTCACACATCTATATCTAATGGATAATCCTAGAACACACTGGAAATAATTTTTAATCTATATCTGAAAGGAAAAAGTTAGGTAATCTTTTCCTGGTAAGTTGCTCTTAAAACAGAATACAGCCGACACAGTTAACCTCTTACCTACTCAACGAGTGGGATGGCAGCAAACAAGCAGGAGACTTTCTCAGGAGACCCAGGCCTCCCGCCTGCCACCTATGGGTTCCTGGGCACTCTGTTCAGTGAAAATGCATAAACACCAGCATCTTAACACCGAGCACCTTAAGAAGGGCTCACAAGATGGCTCAGCAAGTAAATATGCTTGTCTCTAAGTCTGACAACCTGATTTCCATACCCAGGACCACATAGTAAAAAGAAAAAGAACCAATTCAGGCAAGTTTTCCTGTCTCCCATGAGTGAGTCTTGTCTCTCCAAATAAACTAAACTAAAATGTAACTATTAAAAAAGGGAGACCTTGGGTTGGAGATGTAGCTCAGTTGAAGTGTTTGTCTAGCTCTGGGTTCAATCCCTAACACAGCAAAAGCAAAGTATGGTTGGTAATGTCTGTGATCCCAGCACTGGGGAGGTAAAGGTAAGAGAATCAGAGGTTCAAAGTCATCCATCCACAACTACACAGTAAATCTGAGGCCAGACTCAGATATATGAGACTATGCCAAAAGGGGGAGGGGAAAAGACCTCCTCATCTTAGGAGCAAAGTCAAATGTCTTCACTAAGAACGTCACGAATGGCAAATTCAACTGCGATGGAATTCTACCCACCCTCAGCACAGGCAGCAACGACAGCACTTCTGCAATGCTATGCTGATACTCAGCCTGGTCAGTAGTAAATTACTACTAGCAAGTCAACTAAGCTGAGATCAAAGTCAGCAAACATATAAACTAATTTTTTATAATTTTTTTTCAAGTCAGAGGTAAGCACTAGGAAGACAGGGAAACGCTTCTACTACACTTTCAAGAGCTCAGCTATAAGCAAGTTCTCTGGTGTTGATGCTGAGACACTCTTACTCTCCCTTCAAAGAATTTGCAGAAATGAGTTACTCTCACCCTTCCTCTGCCAACAACCTGGCCCAAGCAGCAGCCATTCCCAACAGGCCGTCTCCGACAGCCTCATTACTGCTCTTCCAGCTTCCAGCCTTATCTTCCTACAGCTACTCAAATTTGTTTTTGTTTTTTAATACTTTCTTTTCTTTTTGTTTTGTGTACATTGGTGCTTTGTCTGCAGATCTGTCTTTATGAGGGCACCGGATACCTTGGAAGAAAAGTACAGATAGTCGTGGAATGCCATGTGGGTGCTGGGAATTGAACCTGGGGCCTCTGGAAGAGCAGCCAGGGCTCTTAACCACTGAGCCATCTCTCCAGCCCCAGTCACTCCAATTTTAATAATGTAATTCTAGCTGCTGTGGGAAGGCACTTCTTATCAGACAGAATCCTTACAAAGTTCTCAAGGCTTTTTCAACCTCTCCAACCCACTCTGGTCCTCAGGCTTTGCGCCAGGAGCTCTCTGCCCCACCCTCGTCTTCAGCAGCACTTCCCTAGTCCCCACAGGGACTCTCACTTCTTGCCCCACCTTCACTGTCTTCCATATAATGTCTCTCATGTGTTGCACAGAGTAGTTGTTTACTTGTTGCATATAAATGCAATTTCTGGACAGAGGGGCTTGTTTTTCTCCCCACGAGGACCACATTGGCTGAATCAATCTTTTTAGGAATTTTAAAACCTTTTTTGAATTCCATATAAAACACTCGACTTTCAACTTTTCTGCAAAGTCATTCAAGTCACAAATTAACTAAACTAACCGGTTTTGAAATAAGTCGCTCCAATGAAGCAGAAGTCACTTCGGCACCCAAAATCAGATACAGCTAGAGTAAGAACGCAGTTTGAAAAAAAAAAGCAGGGGGTAGGAGGGAACACTACCTTTTCAGGTTATACAGATTTCATTTTAAACGGAGAATTTAGAGTACTCATTTGTAATTGCTTGTCTAACATGGAGCCCAATCCCCAACTCTGTATAAACTGGGCATGGTGATGCTTGTCTGTAACCCCAGAATTCAAGGGGTGAAGGAAGGAGGAGCAGTTCAAAGTCATCCCTGGTTACACAAATACTTTGAGGCCACGCTAGGCTACATGAAGACCTGATTCCAAAATAAACAAATAAATAATGTATATATGAGAAATATCTATGCGAAAAAGTAATTTTAAAAATAATTTGGATTAGAGAGAGAGGGGGAGAAGAGTGGGGGGAG